AAAAAAACAAAAAAAAAAAAAAAAAAAAAAAAAGAAGAAAGATGCCATCTTTGACATTAACACCTGTTTGATCTAAATTTGAAAATTACAAAAAAGCCACCCCTCCTGGTTTAAATAATTATTAATTAAAAAAAATTAAAAAAAATTGTGGCTGGCGTCGTGGACTATGTTTTCTCGCTGTCTTGAATTTTTTTATTTTTTATTTTAATAATTATTTAAACTGCAGGGGTGACATTTTAGTAATTTTCAAACTTAAATCAATCGGTGTTAAGGTCAAATGTCTGAAAACTGATGGCGAGGGCCACATTAAGACAATTTTTCAAGTAAGGGGGGCAAATCGATGTAATTGAGTGTAGAAGGGAGTAAAGTGATATCGAGCCAAAGTACAAGAGGGCAAATCGATGAATTGAGAGTAGAAGGGGGTAAAGTGATAATCGAACCAAAGTACAAGGGGGCAAATCGATGCAATTGAGAGTACAAGGAGATAAAGTGATATACAACCAAAGTACAAGGGGATAAAGTGTAATTTACCCTAGATATTATCCTACTGAAATTTATATACTATTTTAAAAGAACAATAAAATAAATAAATTATATTCATATTTTATTAAAATATTAGCGCCATTTCCGGAGGAAAATATGTGACCTTCATTTCAGTGGAGGGAGACAAAATGATGACCATGTCTTCATTTCCCGCATAAAGCCATAAACCATTTGCTAATTTTCAGTATTTATAACATTGATTTGCTGATTAATTAATTAACCCCTTAAACACACAGATTAGTGTTAATTAACTTCAACTCATGGCTCATCTTCTTCTACTATTGTTTCTCCTGATAGTATTGCTCACACTAATTTCAGCAGATCCAACGGCCAGAACTTACATCATCAGAGTTGACAGTTCATCTAAGCCGTCGGTTTTTCCAACGCATTTCCACTGGTACACCGCCCAATTTACTGAACCCAAAAACATACTTCACGTATACGACACCGTATTCCATGGCTTTTCCGCCGTTTTGACTCCTAAGCTCGCCGCTTCAGTTCTTCAAAACCCCTCAGTTCTCGCCGCCTTCGAGGACCGCCGTCGAGACCTCCACACCACCCGTTCGCCGCAGTTCCTTGGCCTCCGCAATCAGCGCGGGCTGTGGTCGGAATCCGATTACGGTTCCGATGTTATTATCGGCGTTTTCGACACCGGAATTTGGCCGGAGCGGCGGAGCTTCTCCGATCGGAATCTCGGCCCCGTGCCGAAGCGATGGAGAGGGGAATGTGAAACAGGTGTTAGGTTCAGTCGGAAGAACTGTAACAGAAAAATCGTCGGCGCGAGATTTTTCTCCAGAGGGCACGAGGCCGCGGCGGCGGCGGCCACCGCAGGTCTGGGCGGTATTAACGCGACGGTTGAATTTAAGTCGCCGAGAGACGCCGACGGGCATGGGACACACACCGCGTCCACGGCGGCCGGAAGACACACTTTCAGGGCGAGCATGGAGGGTTACGCCTCCGGAATCGCGAAGGGCGTGGCGCCGAAGGCTCGTTTGGCGGTGTACAAGGTGTGCTGGAAGAACTCAGGCTGCTTCGATTCCGATATCTTAGCGGCGTTCGACGCCGCCGTGAACGACGGAGTCGACGTCATCTCCATTTCAATCGGAGGCAGCGACGGAACCTCCTCGCCGTATTACCTGGATCCAATCGCAATCGGATCGTACGGCGCCGTTTCGAGGGGGATCTTCGTTTCTTCTTCTGCTGGAAACGGCGGCCCTAATGTAATGTCTGCCACAAATCTCGCCCCCTGGCTGACCACAGTCGGCGCCGGCACAATCGATCGAAACTTTCCGGCGGAAGTAATTCTCAGCGACGGGAGAAAATTCACCGGAGTATCTATATACTCCGGCGAACAATTGAACGGTAAAATGTACCCTCTCATATACCCAGGTAAATCAGGTGCTCTTTCCGCTTCCCTCTGTATGGAAAATTCCCTCAGCCCTAATTCAATCAAAGGCAAAATCGTGATCTGCGATCGCGGCAGCAATCCACGTGTCGCAAAAGGATTGGTCGTCAAAAAAGCCGGCGGCATAGGAATGATCCTGGCCAATGGAGAATCAAACGGCGAGGGCTTAGTCGGAGACGCTCACTTGCTTCCAGCTTGTGCGGTGGGGTCCTCCGAAGGTGACAGAATCAAAGCCTATTTATCCTCCAACCCTACCGCCACCGCCACAATCAACTTCCGAGGAACAGTCGTCGGCACAAAGCCAGCTCCGGTGGTGGCATCGTTTTCCGGACGGGGGCCGAACGGTTTGAACCTGGAGATTCTAAAGCCCGATTTAATCGCCCCCGGAGTGAACATCTTAGCCGCCTGGACTGAGGCGGTGGGCCCCACAGGGTTGGATTCGGACAACAGAAAGACCGAATTCAACATCGTGTCGGGCACATCAATGGCTTGTCCACATGTAAGCGGTGCAGCGGCCTTGCTAAAATCTGCTCACCCTGATTGGAGCCCGGCGGCAATAAGGTCCGCCATGATGACCACTGCAACCCTGACGGACAACTCGTTCAGTCGAATGACCGACGAATTTAGCAACAAATCCGCGACACCTTATGATTTCGGTGCCGGTAATTTGAATCTAGACTTAGCCATGGATCCTGGATTGGTCTACGATTTGATGAACGAAGACTACGTTAGTTTCCTATGCTCGATCGAGTACGCGCCCACAACAATTCAAGTGATCACAAGATCGCGCGTGAATTGTCCGATGAGGAAGCCACTACCGGAGAATTTGAATTATCCTTCAATTTCGGCTTTGATTCCAAGGGGGTCAACGGGGGTCATTAGCAAGATGTTTTTTCGGATGGTGACAAATGTCGGGGAGGCGAATTCGGTTTATGGGGTTAGGGTTGAGCCGCCCAAGGGGGTGAGGGTTGTTGTGAAACCTAGGAAGTTGGTATTTTCGGAGACGGTAAGGAGACTAGGTTACTATGTCACTATAACTGTTGATTGCAAGAGTTTGGTATTCGGTGATTCGGGTGCGGTTTTTGGGTCGGTTACTTGGGTTGACGGGAAACATGTCGTTCGGAGCCCCGTTTTGGTTACTCAAATAGATCCGTTGTAAATGTGGTTCGCGGGTTGTTTATTCGTCGGAAAATCGAATCGGAGGTGTACGATGGCGGACGAAACGTTAGAAAATGATAATATGATCAGTTTGGCAATGTTTACTTCTTCCTTTTCCTTTGATTCTTAATTTTGGTTTCTATTGTTTTTATCTCTAACTAGGCTTTCTTTCCTAATTCCTATGTTAATTTTCCTATGTTTGATTTCAAGAACATGCTACTTCGTACAGTTCAACCCTAACAATTAGTTGTCTGAAAATCAAACCAAAATTTTATTTTCTAGACTGTTGATTAAAGATAGATTCTATATCATAATAATATTATACAGCTGAAAATAAATGATCCGAATTAAATTACCAGGCCCACTGACAGTTGTATAGATAAAGAACAAACAAACATGCATATATATTAAAGAAAAGGGTAAATTCAACTTTTCTCTGGTGCTCGATATGAATTTACCATTTTCTACTCCCGGTTGTATTTGAAAAACTGTCTTAATGTGGCCCTCGTTATTAGGTTTTAGATCTTTGACATTTGTTCTCTTTTATCTAAGTTTGAAAATTAAAAAAAACTATTCCTCTCAGTTTAAATAATTATTAAAATAAAAAAAAATTGTAGCTAACGTCGTGGACTATGTATTCTTATTGTCTTGAATTTTTTAATAATATATTTTTTTTAGTAATTATTTAAATTGAAAAAGGCGGGTAAAGTGACATCAAGACAAGGTAAAAGGGAAAATGAAATTTATGTGATATATATAATATAATAATATATACATATATATTAATATATCCATGTACGTATGGTAATCCGATCGCCACATCCCCAATCCAGATGTTGTGGTCGTCTTCATCCTCTTCACACTATTATATACAATTATTCAGCCGTTACATATATACAAGACAAAAAATAAGTGATTGACTAATTTACAGCAATGGAGAAGAAGCTAAAAATCACGTTCTTGATTCTTTCTTCACTATTACTACAGTCAATCATCTCCAATGCAGACACCGAATCCTCCGACCACCGGAGCCCCTGCCTCGCCGGAAAAGAAAAGCTAACAATGCTGCGTTTCTACGTGCAAGACTTCGTCGGTGGGGACTCACCAACTGTTTGGGAAATTGCCAAAACGAACCTCACCGACGTTCTTCCCTCAGCATTTGGTCTGGTCAGTGTTCTGGACAACCTGGTGACATCCGAACCGGAGGTCGATTCGAAAGAAGTGGGTCGGATCCAGGGGATTATCGGGTTGACGGATTTCCACGAGAAGGCTTTGGTTATGCTTCTGAATCTTGTTTTTACGGATGGTGAGTACAAAGGGAGCACGCTTAGCGTTTTGGGGAGGAATCCTTTGGGCGAAGAGACGAGGGAGGTTCCGATCGTCGGCGGCACCGGTGCTTTCAGAATGGCGCGTGGTTATGCGGTTACTAGTACTTATAGTAACGACGAAGCACATAGTCATGGTGTTATTCAGTATGATGTTGTTGTTTATCATTTTGACGGTTTAACGTTGTTGTCTCGTGATTGAACTATGGGTTTTCGTTTTTGTTTTGTTTTTTTTTTTTTTTAATGGAAAAATAAATGAAATGAGGTTGGCTTGAGTGAAATTGAACAATGCGGAGTTAGACTACGGTTCGGGTCAAATCCTGATGACGTCCCGGTTTATCGGGCTCATCGCCAGGGTTTGACTCGGAACGTTGATCTAGACCTTGTATACAAGGGTCGATTGAAGGTCAATGTTTTCAAGTTGTGAACCACCGCAAAAATCTACGATCATGATTGTTTTCCCGTTGCAAATCAAAATTCGAGATTATAAAAAGTATGGTACATTACAACCATCCCTGAGGTATGGTTAAATTACAAAAACTTCTCTCTTGCTTGGGTAATTACAACCATATTCAACATAAAATTTCTTACACGTTCACCCTTGCGATTTCAAAATTAGTAGAATTTTCGAGATTATATGGAATATTATCACTTTTGTACACTTTTTATCCCATTTAGACTCCACATTTGGAAGCAGGATGATCATAATATATGTTTTTTGGCTTGTATATATCAGATTGTGGTGTATCGCAAACTGTATTTTTACACAAAACGAGTACAAACTAGAGTACATTCCACGGAATCTAGATTATTATGTTGAATTTGACACCCTAAGATTGGAAGTGTAAGAAAAAAATATAGTTAAAGGGTAAATGTAATTATCTAAACAAGAGGAGTTTTTTCATAAATTGACCATACCTTAGGGATGGTTGTAATTTACCCTAAAAAGTAAAATGAATCGACAATCAAAGTTTGATGACCCAATTGACTTGTCTAACCACCTAACCATTTTGAAAAACCGTCCAACCGGCCGAGTTTTCGGCCACCTCAAATTTTGGGAAAACAATCGTGATTATGTATTTGATATACATTTGGTTGTCAAGTATGTAACTTACAAATGAACCGTATATATGCATGTGTAATATATGTTACTAGTCTATTACACCATATATTAAACCAGAACGACGTCGTTTTACTTAGACATGAAGGGACACGTTTCACGAATTTAATAAAATGATATGAACTCACTTTGGATTCAAACTCGTTGATCTTCTTCATACAAAAACTCGTTGCATTAATGGATGTAGTAGTCCGATTTATATGAAACGAGCTTTAACAGGCTGAAAGAGTTTCTTCATACAAGTGGTGAAGTTAAAATATTCTCCAATGCCCATTTCACTAAAAAAATCTTCTCCGATGTATATTTTAAGATTTCTATGTGCGCAGCCGATCGCCATTAAACTGTGTTTCGATGCGACAAGGCATAGTCGGCAGCCGCACACCAACTGTTTGGAAAATTGCCCAAACCAACCTCACAGATATTTCGTTCTCACCTGTCAGCCTTTCGAACGACATCGTTTAACATCCGGATCAGTTCACCGGATTATATATTGGGATGTCGGATTTACACGTTAGTGATGATTAATGTGAATCTTGTTGGAAAAATTGAGGTGTTCACCTCAAATTTGGAAAATATTGAAGTGAAATTCCGTGATTGTTTCAAGGAATAAATAATGGAAACATAATCTACGATTCGAGTAGATAGTTGTAGTGTGTTTAAATGCTCAAATCCATTATAGGATAAATGAGAAATAAATGCACAAAGTAAGTACTTCAATGAGCTAAAGTGAGCTCAAAGGGCTTGGTGGGAGATGAAAAGTCACCTATCCCACATTAGGAAAAGAGAATCAATGAGAACACTTTAAATAGTGTCAATGAATAGCTAGAGGTATAATCGAGGGCTTAAGTACAAAGCCACACGCGCACTACAAAGCCACATGCGCACCGCCGCCCGCCCGGAGAAAAATCTGTTCAAAAATCTCTATCGAAGAAAAAAAAACACTATAAAAATAACAAATCTTGTTTTCACGGCAGCACGTAAGACTAAGTGCTCTAAGTCCTCAATTACATGGCAAAATAATTTGAACCGAATCATCGAAATGTTGATAACTACGAGCTACCGACGTACATGCATCATTGGATCTAGTATATACACATTTGAATATTAAAAAATATAATAAATTGCAGTAATAAGTTCCAGGACTAATTAATGATCAGGCCCGCATGTACAATGTACTAATATCTTAAGATGCCGTCTACGTAAGGTAATCCGATCGCCACATCGTCAATCCAGACTTTTGCGGTTGTATATGTAATATATATGTATTCCTTCTTTTCACACTATTACTTACAATTATTCATGAGTTACATAGAAAAAACAAGAGAGAAGAAAACTGGTTGACTAATTTACAGCAATGGAGAAGAAGCTCAAATTCATGTTCTTGATTCTTGCTTCGTTATTGTTACAGACAATCAAGTCCAATGCAGAAACCCAATCCTCCGACCATCAGAGCCCTTGCCTCGCCGGAAAGGAAAAAATAACAACAATGCGTTTCTACGTGCAAGACTTCGTGGGCGGGGACTCGCCAACTGTTTGGAGAGTTGCCCAAACGAACCTCACGGAAGTTCTGCCGTCGGATTTCGGTGCCGTCGACGTTTTGGACAACCTGGTAACATCCGAACCGGAGGTCGATTCGAAAGAAGTTGGTCGGATCCAGGGGATTATCGGTCTGACGGATTTCCACGAGAAGGCTTTGGTTATGCTTCTGAATCTTGTTTTTACGGAGGGTGAGTATAAAGGGAGCACGCTTAGTGTTTTGGGAAGGAATCCTTTGCACGAAAAGATTAGAGAGGTTCCGATCGTCGGCGGCACTGGTGCTTTCAGAATGGCGCGTGGGTACGCTATTACTACTACTTATAGTACCGACGAAACGAAGAGGCATCCTAATGTTTATCAGTATGATGTTGTTGTTTATCATTTTGATGGTTTCACGTTGTTGGCTCGTCAGTGAAGTAAGGGTTTTCGATTTAATATATTATTATTGAAAAATAATGTACCTCAGACACTATCAGTTGTCTTAAAAACTAATTGATAGTGCAAAAGGTTCTATATGATCTAAGTTCCAAGGTAATGGGTTCGATTCGCAACCTGCAAAATCAGGTAAATTCATATATATGTTTACTCAGTTTAGTTTTAGTCAAGACTGCTGGTAGAACCTCATGCGCTACCCGTTATCCTAAAATAATAAAATTTTCATAAAATTTTAAGAATATAATTAGTGCAAAGAATGAATATTATCGCTAACTCGGGAGATTTAGGTAACATGGGCTTGAACTTTTAATTAATTATGCTTAATTAGCTCAAATACATTAAATAGGTTGGCTTTGAGTGAAATTGAACTTGGTGGAGTTTTCCACCTCAAATTTTGGGAAAACAATCGTAATTTATGCATTTGATGATATACATTTGGTTGTCAAGTATGTAACTTACAAATGAATTTTATAAAAAAATACGAATTCACTTTGGATTCAAACTCGTGGATCTTCTTCATACAAAAACTCCTTGAATTAATGGATGTAGTAGTCCGATTTATATAAAACGAGCTTTTACGGGTTAAACGAGTTTCTTCATACAAGTGGTGAGGTGGAAATCTTCTCCAATGCCCATTTTAAAAAAAAAAGGAAAAAAATCTTCTCCAATGTACATTTTAAGATTTCTATGTACGCAGCCGATCGCCACATCCCCAATTAAGATTTTGCGGTTGTCTTCGCTATTTCCCGGTTATTCTATACAACTATGTGTTTGTTAATCACTAAAACTGAGTTTCTACGTGCAATGAATACTCAGCGGCCGCACACCAACTGTTCGGAAAATTGCCCAAACCAACCTCACATATATTTCGCCCTCAGCTGTTCGCGTTTCAAACCTCGCCAATGCAACTTGCAACTTTAATATGTTTACCACTCCTTTAATATTTTCACCAATTTTATGTCTAATATTTCCTAAATTTGCCCAAAAATGGTAAAATAATCCCTTTAAATTTAAAAATTTTAAAGATTTTTTATTATTTAATGTGTATAGTATTCAAAAAAAAAAAAAAAAAAGCCCCCGAACCCCCCTAAACTATTAGCCAACCATTATATTATTTACTATATTTAATTTCGAACACCCTTGGCAAAAATCCTGGATTCGCCACTGCCTACCGTTGCAGACCAGTCGCTTTCTTCCGAGAGGTGCTTCATCGACCTGCTTTGTTTTATATTCAATTTTATTTTATTCTCAATTTTCCTTTTCTTCTTCGTCCTCCTTGGTCTCTGTCTCCGCCGCCCACAATTCTTAATTGCGCCTCCTTCTACCTAAATCCGCCACCTCCTTCTTCTCTCCGCATACAATTTTTTGCACCGTTCTCTGAAATTCCGATTTTCTGTTAAAAGAATAATTTTTTTGGGTATTCTGAGTTTGTTGTTTCCGGCAAAAATATAGGCATGGGGGTTTCTAAGTGAGCTACGCTTCGTTCCATATTTCGGACATCGATCGACCGAGGTTGGCTAAAATTTCTCCCTTTTTTCTTTTTGTTTTCTTAAAATCATATTTCAGCCCTTTTCCCCCTCCTGTCAGCACTAAAAGATTTCGTTTTTGTTGGATTGAAATTTGCAGGCAATTCTGGGGATTTTTTCTGCTTAGATTTTAGTATTTTTTCTCTCACGCATGTTGGTTATTTTGATTGGAGAGGAACTTTTGAAGACATCTTTTATTCATTTCGTGGTACTTGCTATGACAATATGAAACAGATTTTATCAGAATTTTTTTAAAAATATTAATTCAATTAATTTTGGTTAATTTAACGCTTGATAATTATGCTTATGTAGAATAGTAAGTTTGCTGCTTCAATTGTTTTTTTTTTGGTTGACTTCTTTGCTATTTTGATTTAAATTATGGACTAATTTACAATTAATTAATCTTTGGATGGTTCTAATATTTAATTTCTATTGTCCAATGAAACAGAGAGACATCGTATAGTGAAGAACAGGGACTAATTTAAAATTACTCTTTGGCTATAAGCCGCATGCTGAAGAATAGGTAGAGGTTATTCTATAGGTATGAAGATGTATTTCCTCATTTTTCATTTAACCAATTTCGTCAATGTTTTGTTATTTATTTATTTTGTTATGTAATATCTTCTCGCATCTCCCTCACCTATGTTGTTTGATGTGAGCCCGCCACCTCCTCTTTTTTTGAACCCAATGATTCTTCGACAGAGTTAATTTTCGAGATTCAACATGGAGATTCACATCTCAGGGAGCTTTAAGATAAAGTTGAAGAAGAGATATATTGTTGCTCACAAGTAGGGGTGCAAGTTGGAACGGATTTTCCAATTTCCGCCGGTTCCGATCCGAAAATTTCCAATTTTGGAACAACTTTTTTCAATCCGACTTCCGAAATTCCGATTTCCGAAATTTTCCGATTTTTTTGGATTGGAATTGGAACTATATAAAATAAATTTGGAATTTCCGATTTCCGATCCGATTTAATTCCGAAATTAATTCCGGAAAATTGCGATTTTTTTCCGAAAAATACACCTATAAATAGTATATATTGTATAATACTTATTTTCCGAAAAATACAACTATAAGTTTTGTTTTAGGATTTTGACATAATGAATTGTTGTTAGAAGTTTTATTGGATATTATGTTGTGTTTATTTTTATTTATTTTTTTGAACTGAAATTTAGTCGTTATTAGTTTTACTTTTATCGACGTGGATGCTCTTATTTTCGAAAAATTATGGACATTTTAGAAAATTTCGGCTAAGTTTAGAAATTTTAAAGCTTATGTGATTTCCGATTTTTTTCCGAAATTCCGAAATTTCCGGGCCTTTTGGAATTGGAATGAATTTTTAGATTCCGAAATTTTTGGAATTGGAATTGGAATTGATTTTGTACTTCCGAATTTTTTTGGAAATTTTCCGAAAAGGCTAATTCCGATCCGATCCATCCGACTTTCACCCCTACTCACAAGGGTAGAGGTGAAAGTACCTGGTTTTCGATTTCACCTTTTTCTATAGGGTAAATTACAAACACCCCCTAAGGTATGGTTAAATTACAAAAACACCCCTCTTGTTTGGATAATTACAACGACCCCTCAACTCCTCAAATTAATGAAATGAGTTTGGCTTGAGTGGAATCGAAGTGCGGATAGACATGACTACGGTTCGGGTCAAATCCAAATGATGTCCCGGTTAATCGGGCTCATCGTCAGGGTTTGACTCGGAACCTTGATCTAGACCTTGTATACAAGGATCGAATAAAATCTACGAACGTGATTGTTTTTCCGCTGCAGATCAAAAATCGAGATTATGAAAGTAAAATGAATCAACAATCAAAGACGGACGACACAATCATGGCCGGAACTTAGAAGGGGCAGGCGGTGTTGTTGACCGCCCAAGAAAGGAAAACAAAAACGTTATTTGTGGCATTGTATTTTTTGAATATTACTTTTGGTTCCCCTAAAGTTTTTGTAAATATGTGTCTTTAACCCTTAATTTTTTGTTTCTTCTCCATAATCTTATATATATATATATATATATATCTATATATATATATTAAATATAAAATAGAATGGTTAAAACTTGTATTATTTTAAATAAAATTTATGAATATTTACTTATTTTTGATTTTTTTTTTCAATGACTCTAACAAAATAATATGGAACGATGCCATGAATCCCCAAAATTTAAGTGCAATACATATTTAGAATAATTAGAATTAATTTAATTTTTTTTGTCATGCTTAAAATATGATAAAACTATAATATATATGCTATTTTAATTAAAAACTAGTAATTCACTCGTGCGTTGCACGGAGGTCAGTTTTAAAGTGAGAAAAATAATAATATCTAAACGACTATCTCTTTATAGCAACACCAATTCAAGTAAAAACAAAATGGAAAGAAATAAAAAAAACATAAACTTTATCTTTTAATTCAAAGTTTTAAAATATGAAATTAAATTAAATATTACAAAGAAGAAAACGCAAAGCGCGCAAAACACGATATGAAGATTAAGTGAATTATTTAAAACATATGGTATAACACTATTTCATGGAACACAATCTACTACGCCATATGAATCTTCTATAATATAACTAACTTAACAACAAACACAATACCAGAGAAATAACGCAATAGATATTCAAATAACCTGCAAGTGTATCACTAACAGCGTTCAATTAGTGATGCACATTACTCAAACAACAATACAACTTATAAATATTGCAAAAGAGATAAGATGTATACGCCCCAACCAATACTGATACCAATATCGATACTAATGTTGATATCAATACCAATACCAATATTGATACCAATACTGATACTAATAATGGTATTAATACTGATACTGATATCGATACTAATACTGATACTACTAATGATACTGATATTGATACTGAGATACTGATATTGATATTGATACTGATACTAATAGTAATATTAATATTAATACTAATACTAATAGTGATACTCATATTAATACTGATACTGATAGTCATACTAATACTGATACTAATATTGATATTGATAGTGATACGAATACTGATATTAATATTAATATTAATACTAATACTAATACTAATACTAATACTAATATTGATATTGATATTGATATTGATACTGATACTGATTACTAATACTGATACTAATACTAATAATAATACTAATAATGATACTGATACTAATACTAATATTAATTCTAATACTAATAGTGAAACTAATACTGATACTCATACTCATATCCTAGTACTGATATTGATACTGATACCGATATTGATACTAATGTTGATACTGATATTGATACTGCTACTCATAGTAATATTAATATTAATACTAATACTAATAATAGTACTCATACTGATACTCATATTGATACTAATACTAATATTGATACTCATATTTATACTTATACTGATACTCATACTAATACTAATACTTATACTAATACTAATAATAATAATACTAATACTAATACTAATACTAATACTAATACTAATACTAATACTAATACTAATACTAATACTAATACTAATACTAATACTAACACTAATACTAATACTAATACTAATAGTAATAGTAATATTAATACTATTACTAATACTAATGTGTTAA